ATTCTTAGTGAGTTTTACACATAGTTTCTTCCAAATAAATGTGATCTTTTTGCCAGCCTTATGTTCACATTAGGTACTCGGGTACACATAGAGTGAATGAGTGAATGAATGCTTGGATATAAAAACCCTTACAAAGTTTCTGTTAGCTACTTCTATTCACCCTTCTTTGTTTTCACTAAACCTTGATCAAACTCAACTACAGTTTTGTTTGATTGGGCACCCTCAGTTGATGTTAAGCAATAGGAGATTCTACTTCTCTTCCAAAGCTTAAAATAATATTAATGTTTTTTATTATGCCAATAATCTCCCATATTCTCAAAATTAAATGACACAGAGAACATTTCATCCCGGGTGCTTAGTAAAGGGGGCTAGAAAGAGAGTCCATCATTTTCATGGTGGCTTAGAGACATAATGAAACTGCCAACCAGTAGTTCTCAATCAGGTTTTCAAATAATTGTTTTAATTGTACATCTAAACAGGTACTCAAGAGGTTAAAGAGTTCATGCCAAGTACATACAGATGTTTAAACGATGGTCTGGTTAGATTCTGTATTACATATTACAAAATAACAGGGTGTGAACTTGCAGCTTTATACATGTATTGAAGTTTTCCTGGGGCTGACAGAATTTTTTCTTGGTGAAAGCATAGAAATATGCATGGTTAAAAGTCCCTTAAACATGTAAGGGCTTCTGTTTGTAAAGGGTTACCACAGAAACTTGGAAGCCACCCAGAAAACATCCTTAAGTGCAAAACTCTTAGGCACTTGTTTCTCCCAGTATTATGCCCAGAAAAGAATTCCTGCATCAGCCAAGCGTGGCTGACTATTGTGCCATTAGAGGAAGAGGCTTTTGTTGTGACACGAGTGCCTGTCCCAGTCACGGCTGGGCAAAGCCATTTTGCCTGTACCACCTTCCTGCCTTTCCAGCAGAGGCTGCTCACCGTGTTCTCTGTTCCCCACCTCCAGTTACATAGTACATGGTTGTGATTCCTCATGAAGTGTACTCCATAGTACAGCAGCCAAAGTGCCCAAAAGGCAATGGGCATTTTGCCTCTGTCTTCAAAGCAGTAAATACGATGAGTTGGGTCCATATAGGCATGGGTGGCATCAGGAATCTATTAGACATATTTTGTTTTCTGGAATTTCTCCACACATTTGGTTGTTGTCATATCCAGGATGCTGATATTTAAATATGGACTTTTTAAGAATGTGTATTATTTTACAAAATTCCAATATGTCACCATGCTTTAAGGGCATGGGCTCTGGAACCAGACTGCCAGGGCACAACAGAGAAACTTCTTAGTTGTATTGTAGGGTGGCGGGAACAGCACCAGTTGTTAGACTGGTGGGGTCAGACAGGACCTGGGTTCAGCAACCTTAGTACTTGAGTTTGGGCTGAAAAAGAATTCAGAGCCAAGATGCAAACTATAAGAGAACATTTACTTGGAAAATTGCAGAAGTAGAAGTAATTTGTAAAAGTGTGCTGATGAATCAAGTTGTAGAGGCAAAGGAAGGGCCCTTGGAGCTTGGGAGTGAGGAAGGTAATAGTAACATGCCTGGGGGTGTAGTGGGGGAAGGAGAAGGGACCATGCTGGGTCCTCAGTCCCAAGGGTTTTAAGGGTAGAGATTTTAGGGGACGACCTCAATAGAATATTCAGCAGTTTTCCAGGTGTGTCCTTCCAGGGTCTAAGTCTCCACTGATTGATTGGTGGACACCAGGGCAGGGGGTCATTATTCAGTGCAGCTGGTCCTGAGATCAGCTGTAGCTGGTTTTGTTGCTTATCTGAGCCTGGAGCTGAAATACAACTGAGACCTAGATGTTATCTCTTGGGAGTAAAGGTCAGGGGGTCCAAACCATGTGATCAGCTATATGCCAGGGGAAGAAAAGTCATCCTGGGGATGAGATCCCACCCTACAATTGTCCTTTGTTAGACACCCGGGGCTTTTTGTACCTGGCCCATCGTCCTTGCTCTGCTCATGTCTGTCTAACTGCCGACCACAGTTGTGTGACCTGTTCTTGTTCCATTGTTTTATTTGTAAGATGGGTTCTTCACAGGTGTGTTTTTTTGTTTGTTTGTTTTATAATACATTTGTGTTTGTTTTTCTAATATATTTTTATTGATTTCGAAGAAGAAGGAAGAGGGAGAGAGAGATAGAAACATCCATGATGAGAGAGAATCATGGATCGGCTGCCTCCTGCAAGTCCCCCACTGGGGATCGAGCCCACAACCCGGGCATGTGCTCCTGACCAGAATCGAACCTGGGACCTTTCAGTTCACATGCTGACGCTCTATCCACTGAGCCAAACCGGCTAGGGCCACAGGTGTGTTTTAAGGATCAGATGAGTCAATACTCTTAGCACTTGCTGGGCACTCAGTAAATGCTCAACAGATAGCTGCCATAATCACTGTTGTTTGTGTTGATGGCAGTCTTTCCAACAAACCCTTTCTAGGGCAGCCGTCTGTGAGTAAGGTCCTCATACCTGGTATTTTTATCCTCACTTTATTCCCAGCTCTATGTCAGCAGTCACTAGAGAGAACAACACATAGTACAATTTGGAAGCCTTTATAGCTTCAAAAACCAGTCTTGGAATCCTTTTGCTATACTAATTTATTTTCATCAGGCCTAGAATAATTGCCCTAGTACTTCAAGGTTATGAAACATGCTAGTTTGAGCAGAGCAGTGTAGCTGAAAATGTTCTGGCTTGTACCAGCTTTTATTAGCCCATTTGCCTCTCAGGTAAAATGAGGAGAAAAATAAATTAAATCATCAGTCTTCAGCTACTCATTATATATACTCTTTATCCATCTGAGGAGGGCAGATAGATAAAATCATACTTTCCTTTGTATGAACTATGTGCAATGTGCATCCTAATGCAATTTTGTCTTTCTTACTTTGCTGTCAACACTTTTCTTTTTTCGGTTGTAAAGTTGTCATTTGTTTGTTTCAGTCCTTTTGGCAAAATCAATCCATGTAGCTCACTAATTTAGGTGATTTCCACAGTGAAATATGTTTGTAAACTCCACCCACTTATGGACTTAATAGCTCCAACCTTTTCCCAGGGGCTCCTAAGAAACTGCAAGTCTAGTCATCATCCTTTGAAGATTAAACTTGAAGACAAAAGGGACATTTTTGTCAGCTTTTTTTTTTAAAAATCAAAGAGTTTTGGGAAGTTTTTTTACTATGCACATATAAAAGGTAGCTTCGGTTTTTCTTATTTATTGAACTACCTGAAAACATTGGTTTTTCTTTTAATTCTGTGTAGAAGTTGCACACTTGCAAAACATTTAAACCTAATTAAAGTGAGGATATCATAACAATATACCGAGACAATTCTTGCCCCAGTAACTATTCTTTATCCCTCTGATTTCCTCTTTTTTGAAACTTCATCTTTAGCAATCACATAACATACAAAATTACCAAACCATTTAGCTTTGACCAGATTTTATTTTAAAAAGCCATGAGTGTATATGTTTTTCTTTTGTTGTTGCCACAATTGCTATTCTCTGAGATGCAGGAATGATTGAAGATGGGAAACAGAAGAAGGATGTGTGCTAGCTAGGTCTGTCTGCTAAGGAGGACAGAGCAAGGTCATATTTATATTGGCTGTTTGTTGAGTTCAAATGAACCACTTCAAAGGGACAGGAGGGCCATGTGTAACTGAATACGTCTGCTCTGAATAAAAGGGTTTTAACTCCTGAAAGTTCTAGTCATTTAATCATAAACAACCAGTCATTTAGTTATAAAATGTTTCACATACTAAAAGGACTAAAATGGTGTAATAGGTTAACTCATTTGATTGAAAGCCACTTTTTGCCTACAACTGTTCTCTGTATTAAGAAACCTGGCACATAGGAAAGGCCTGAAACCTGATTTATTCATCAGATTGAATCTACTTAAGTAATAACCTCCCATCTAGATACGACGTGAAATGTGCAGCTTTGGCAATCAGGAAAGACTCAACATTTCAATCATTAACACAGCTGGGCCAAAGGAAAGGCCTTCTTTGATCCATAGAGATTATTTTACTCTAAAAAGAAAATTGTATTTTGAACTTTAGTTTTGCAAATAAGACATAGCAATGGAATTTTCTTCCAGTAGCTGCTCCTTATTTCTCAGATATTTCCTGAGATGCAGATACTAGAATTTGAACTTGATTGAGAATAAAAATATTTTGATCTATAGTTGAAATATTTTAATATTATTGTTCTTAGCTACTTGAGGTCTAGTTGGTGGCTTACAAGTATGTGTTTGGAGCTGCTGTTTTTATGTCCACCATACAAAGCAGTCTTTGGGCTATTTCCCATATGTTCACAGTCCTGGCAAGGTTGGTGGTAGGTGTGATGAGAGGTCTAAAAAGAAGCAGGGTGGGATTGTCTCAGCTGTTTGTGGGTCCTTCTGAATTCGTTTTTTGCTGTGTATTCAGGGAAGAAAACACCCTCCTGTTTGTGGGTTTCAAAGGTGCAATGGAAGTTCGTGGATTGGGTGTGTACAGTGCTAGGCCCACCTGAACTCTGTTCTCACTGCTGACTAAAGTCGGGAGGCCTGCACTTGGACACCCACACACACACTGTCCAGCACCTAAACATAACGAGTTACTGGTTTTCCTCTTGTTCTTGGACTCAGTTACCCTTCCCTCCCTGAACTCTGTCTCTCCCGGGGCCTCTTCCACCTTTAGTCCAGCCACACAAGACTACTTAGTAGTCAACATACATTCTGCATTTTCCCACCCTTCTGCCTTTCCTCTGTTGTTTTCTCCACCTGGAAGGCCCTAATTTGAACCTAAATCTTCCCTATCTTTCAAGATTCTACTCAGATCCCAACCCAGCCTCTGAATCTCTCCATCAGAATTCATCTTCCTCCCTATGTTCTCCCACCAACTGTACTTTGTGTACTCTTAACGTCCACAATCTACTTTTGTCCAGACATTTGATTTGTACAGTCTTTGTCCCTCCTTATTACCTGGGGGTGATGTGTTAGCTGGTGTTTTCTTTGTTCGCAGGTATGCTTCAGAAGTGCCCTTCTACTGATGACTTTGTAAGTGCCCTCGTCTCCGACTTGGATCTTGACTTGGAAACTTTCCTCATGGATTCTGAATAACAGAAACACCTTGAATCTTTTAAGTCAAGGTCGTGTAGTTATTAACTTTGTTGTAAATGCTACAGCTGTTAACACTCGTTTCTGATTTCTGTATTCATTTCTGTAATAATTTCTGAAAAACCGTAAATGGATGGAACTTGGAATAAATGTTTTAATTAAGCTAGCTTTTAGTCTGTTTGGCAGATTTTTTAACATATGGAAATCCACTCAGTGAGCTAGTAAACACTAGAGCATAGAGAGTTGTTAAATTTAATGTCTGGGTATTTCCTTAGTCCAGCCACTTTCCTGTTGAACTTTTTAAATCAGTTTTGTTTATCTGTAATTGATTAGAGACTTCATTAAAAGCAAAATTATTTTAGTTTGTGGCAGTCTTCAGAAAGATTACACATATAGTTCTTTTAAGTGATTGCCATTTCTTAAGACCACTAGACTAGACTTTGAAAATGCAGTTGGGGAAGTCCCTTGCAACAACCAAGAAACCAAGTATGGTTTCCAAAGTACTTGTTATTGACTGCATTGGTTTTCTTCTGAGTGTTTAGGCATATATAGATGGACTCAGAACAGGTAAGACTTGAACTCATATTTCTCTGGCTGGATTATGAACTTACAAAAATAAGTGCAGGTCCAATTTATGAGTGATGTGCCAAGATCCAGCAACTGATAAATAAGGAAACTGGGTTTTAAATCATGTCTATCTTTATCTTGAACCCATCTGCCTTACATTATTGCACACCATATCACTGTGTGTTAATAATAGGAAAGAAACTATTTAATGGGGTTTTCCCACCATCAAAGTCAAGAATTTAATTATAGACTTTAAAATGGCATCTGCTAGAAGCCTCTTTCTGCTTTGCATTGAATGACCAATGATGCTGCAAAAAGGCAAGATTAAAAATCCCCAGAACTAGGACACATGTTCAACTGATTCACAGAATATGGGACAATTTCGACAAGCTCAGAAATAAGTGAGACCAGACGAAGAAATGCCAGTGACCCACCCATCCTGGGTACACATGGATACATGGGGTACTGACCCTTCATTTCCCTCCACCCCCGCTCACACCAAGAAATCCAAAGTGTGCCCCAACCAGAAGCAGAGCAGCTGGCATGCCACCCACGCAGTGCTCGCACGATAGCCCCTTGCTGCCCTTTGTTCCTCTTCCAGCTCCTCCCCTCTGGAATTTCTCAGTCTCTGAACACTTGGAAACTGCACTACACAGAATCCTCGGGCAGGAAGTAGGGCAGGCCTGGCAATGGTGCCTCTTCTGTACCCAAAGCAAAGTCGGGAAGGGAGGGCAAGGCTTGGATAATGCTGGCAATAGGCGCCTGGGGACCAGTGCCTGGGAGGAGTCTAGCTGTTTCTGTACTCCACCCTGTTTGTTCACAGTGTCTGAGCTAAGGTAAGGAAAATCTTAACAAACTGCACTACACAAATGCTAACTCTCTTCTGAGGAGTGGACTTGGAGAAATTGATATAAACCTGCCAGTCAGTGATAGGTAAATCTGAAAAGCTGCTTTTCAGATTCACCAACAGTGACAGTCCCTTTTCAGTTGAGGGAGAGTAAGGAGAAAAATCTATAGGGAGCCCATGTGTAAACATTGTTCAGAAAAAGGAAAGATCACCTGGAGGAGCAGAACTTGGAAAGTTATTTTGTAAAGGAAGTAAAACACATTGTAGGAAACCTCTCTATTATTCTTAGTGAGATTTGAGAAAACATAGTATTTATGAAGCTGAAAGCCATCAAGAGCAAGCAGAAATAAAAAGATAAGGATAAGCTAAAAAGATTGGTAAGAAAGAAGGAAGAAAGGAAAAAGAAAGAAATGTAAAAAACTGAAATACATGCAGTGATTTAAAACATTATCAAAGCAGAAAAAAACAAGTTGTCGAGGGCGAACTTGAGAAACATCTCCTAATGCAGGTTGAAGGGATATGAGAGCTGGTAGCAGGGAAGTGGAGGAAAGTGCTGCCTCTGCCAGACAATTCCTGAGGAGGAAAGCAGGACGCCCAGAACAAAGGCAATAACAGAAAACAAGTTCTTATGTTCTCTATTCCCAGTGCTCAAATGGTGAATAGATGCTGTTTGTATGTGCTCTGGCAAATACATACTATTCAGTGAATTTAAGAAAACGTTTTTGATATGAGAAGAAAAGTTGAGTAATTTCAAAGGAAATCCTTGATGGTTGCCCAATAATGTGACTGTACTTGATGCCATTTAACTGTACACTTAAAAAAATGGTTAAAGCATTAGTTTTTTTTTAATGTCTATTTTCCACTATTAAAAAGAAAAAAAGAATCCTGTATTGCACACCAAACCAAATGATGAAAAGAGACCCACGCCTGACACTATCTGCCCTTTCCAGAGTTTAAATATAAATGTAATTAGCCCTAGCCAGTTTGGCTCAGTGGATGGAGCGTTGGCCCGTGGACTCAAGGGTCCTGGGTTCGATTCTGGTCAAGGGCACATGCCCGGGTTGTGAGCTCGATCCCCAGTCGGGGGGGGGGGGGGCGGGGTGCGTGCGAGAGGCAGTCAATCAGTGATTCTCATCATTGATGTTTCCATTTCTCCCTCTCCCTTCCTCTCTGAAATCAATAAAAATATATTTTAAAAATAAATAAATAAATGTAATTAAAATTATAAGCCAGCATACTCCAAAATGGGCTTTGCAGAACACTTTCTAGGATGTTACTGTTTTCCATGAACTCAAAAGAGTCCTGTTGTTAAATACATTTGGGAAATGCCAAATAAGTGTTGGAGGTTCACTGTGCACATTAGCAATCCTACAAGCACAAAACATACATAGCATTGTATATACTAGTATGACTTAATGTTTCCCAAACCTATTTGATTATAGGACCCACCCCCTTTTTTGGAGTACCTATTAATGACATTTTTCCGAACACTGGGAAGCAACTGCTGCAAGCATTCAGCTAGAAATAACAGGCTTCCATATAAAGGATCACAAATTGTGGTGACCCCAGAATCATCGTAAGGGTACAAATAAATGGAATGTGTATCGCCATTAAATGCCAAAGGACAATGAAAAAAGGGTTTGAGAGGTAAAGACTGAGATGCAAAATGGCATTCTCAGATAATACTCGGGCTCCGGAAACATCTCTTTTTTTTTCCTTTTTGTTGAATTAATTGGGGTGACACTGGTTAACAACATTATACAGGTTTTAGCTGCATAATTCTACAGCACATCATCTGTCCACTGTATTGTGTGTTCACTACCCCAAGTCAAGTATCCTTCCATCACCATTAATCTCCCCTACACCTTCCTATAACTACACACACACACACACACACACACACACACACACACACACACTCCAGCAATCACCGCACTGCTGTTTATGTCCATGAGTTTTTTCCCATTTTTTTCTTATTTGCTCAATCCTTCCATTCCTCTACACAACACCACCCCCCAAACAGCTGTCAGCCTGCTCTCTATCTATGAGTCTCTATTTTGCTTGGTAGTTCATTTTGTTCATTTAATTCCACATATAAGTGAAATCATATGGTACTTGTTTTCTGTGACTGGCTTATTTCATTTAGCATAATAAACTTGAGGTCCATCCATGCTGTCTCAAAGGATGAGATTTCCTTCTTTTTTATAGCTGAATCGTGTTCCATTGTGTAAATGTATCACAGCTTTTTTATCCACTAATCTACTGATGGGCACTTGGGCTGCTTCCAAATCTTGGCTATCCTATATAATAAAAGGGTAATATGCAAATTGACCCTAACAGCAGAACGACTGGGAATGACTGGTCACTATGACACACACTGACCACCAGGGGGCAGATGCTCAATGCAGGAGCTGCCCCCTGGTGGTCAGTGCGCTCCCACAGGGGGAGCTCTACTCAGCCACAAGCCAGGCTGATGGCTGCCAGCACAGCGGTGGTGGCAGGAGCCTCTCCCGCCTCCTCAGCAGTGCTAAGGAGTCAGACTGCAGCTTAGGCCTGCTCCCCGCTGGCAAGTAGACATCCCCCAAGGGCTCCCAGGCTGCCAGAGGGATGTCTGACTGCCAGCTAAGGCCTAATCCCCCAGGGAGCAGGCCTACATCAACAGGTGGACATCCCCCGAGGGGTCCCAGACTGCGAGAGGGCACAGGCCGGGCTGAGGGACCCCCGAGTGCACAAATTTTTATGCACTGGGCCTCTAGTTGTAAATAACATTGCTATGAACATAGGGGTGCATATATTCTTTGAAATTAGTGTTTAGGGTTTCTTAGGATAAATTCCCATAAGTGGAATCACTGGGTCATAAGGCAGTTCCATTTTTAATGTTTTGCGGTAACTCCATACTGCTTTCCACAGTGGCTGCACCAGTCATATTCCCACCAACAGTGTATTAGGGTTCCTTTTTCTCCACATTGTCACCAGCACTTGTTTGTTGATTTGTTGCTGGTAGCCATTCTGACAAGTGTGAAATGATATTTCATTATAGTTTTAATTTGTGTCTCTCTGATGATTAGTGACCTTGATAATTTTTTCATATGTCTACTGCCTATCTGTACGTCCTCTTTGAAGAAGTGTCTACTCGGGTCCTTTGCCCATTTTTTTATTGGATTGGGGTGGGGGTTTTTTGGTGTTGAGTTTTATAAGTTCTTTATAAATTTTGGATATTAATGTCTTGTCAGATGTACCCTTCTTTAAAAATTGCTAAAAGAACAAGTTAATTTAGACCAAGCATCAAACGCAAAGAAAGTCTCTAAGGAGCTTCTAAGAATACAGAGGGGTCAATTCTTTTTTTTTAAAATTTAAATTCTTTACTGTTTAAAGATTACATAAGTCTCCTTTTTCCCCCCATTGACCTCTCCCCGGACACCCCCACGCCCCAGCACATGCCCTCACCGCCACCACCACCACCACTACCAACCCCTCCCCCCAACCCCCTCCCCCCCCCTGCCCATCTGTATCCATCGGTTAAACTCATATGCATGCATATAAGTCCTTTGGTTGATCTCTTCCCCTTCACCCCCCGCCTTCCCTCATAGGTTGGACAGTCTGTTCAATACTTCTATGAGTCTGGTTCTATTTTTGTTCATCAGTTTATATTGTTCATTAGATTCCACAAATGAGTGAGAGCATGTGATACTTATCTTTCTCTGACTGGCTTATTTCGCTTAGCATAATGCTCTCCAGTTCCATCAAGGCTG